ATGCACTATGCTTTTTTATAGGAACTTTTCAAAGCAAAGGTTTTATGGTGTCGGACACACAACATTGAAAGTTTCTGGATCCACAACATTGAAAGTTTCTGGACACACAACATTGCAAGTTGATAAAAGCCTTGTAAAATCATCAATTTTATGCTATTATGTTTTCATTGAATTTTTCCTTGTTGGGGAATGTGGCTTATAATTTTGCAATTCTACATTCACTCAAAGTATATACGATTGCACACATTAACATATTCAAAGAAAGATTGAAAAAATTGAATGACGAAACATCAACTTTTAACACTGAATACGTATTCAGATGAATGCAGCTTTTGCTATGTGTGCACACATTCATTCAGTACCAATCAATCGGTATAAATATTCTCAACACACAAAACCCACTGAAAAGTACGCAAGGTTGAATTTTATTAAACAGATTTCAAAATTTCAACACAAAAAATTGTTTATAGAACGTTATCATTAGTTTTTTTCACTTAAATTTGTATAAGTATTTATAAGAATAAAAAATATTAATTGGAGAAATATTTTTTAGTAAACGTGTCGTTAGAATGTCGTTATGAAAAATATAAATTATTTATGATTTTAACATCTGTGTTTAGAAAATTGTCAGCTTTCCAAATAAGTGTTACCAATGTACCATTAATAATGTATTCTGCATAAATTAGTACATACATATATGTATAAGTTAATATAAACTAACAAATTTAAGAGCTTCTGGTTCTAACATTAGACATACATATACGTTTCATTACTTAATTATAAACATTTTTGACACAAATTTCTTCGTATTTTTTTCTTCGTTATTGGGTCAAGCAGTTAATGGAAAATCGAATTTGTGGGTTAATGGAGGTTTTTTTATTTACAATAAGTCACAAATTATCAACAATTTCCAAATAAAAATATTTAACAAAATTCGTTGGTCTATATTTTCATTAACACTCTTTTCTGTAAGTGCAATATTTAAGAACGCATACCCATTTCATTGCAGAAGGTTTGGCACGCTTTTTAACCCAAGTTTCGGTTTGTTTGTTAACATAAAAACTACATATCGACACCTAAGTGAAAGATCCACCTATATCAGCAGCCAGTTCAAAAACTCCCTATCTCAAAAAACTTTTCAAGAACACCATATTTCAGAAGTTTGTTGAAGAACGCCAGGACCAGGTTATTTATTGTTTAATTTTTGTATTTTCAATACACTGCTGCCCTGCATAAAGGGAAACCCCCGTGCCGAATTTTCTTCAGATATCTAAACTTTTGCTAGAGTTATCGTGTACACAAAAAAACGGACAGGCAGACAGACCGACATGGACTAATCAACTTTTCTTTTCATTCTGGGCATTTTCGGTATATACATACATATGTACATAAATGTAGTATATATCTATCTCGATTTTGGTTGTTCCAAATATCCGTTACGTGAAAAAAGTTATGGTACCCTCCTGCAGAAGTGCGTAGTAAATATGTTTAAAAAGCAAACTTTTAAATTAATAATTAGTTAAAAACAATTTCATTGTAATGGAACTCCTCAACCCCTTTTTAATGAAAACAAGAACCCTTATGAAATTTCGTTTTGAAAGTTTTCAAATTTAAAAACTCAAGAAAAAAATTATTAGAAAAAAAAATTGTGATAAATTACATTTTATATTCTGCGAGAAAATGTCTAAAATCAATGAAGACCTATGCTGCGAAGGCAGCGAAGTATCAAAAGAAGATTTTGACGACCTTTTTGAAGTGATCAGTGAGTATGTTTTCGAAGACGAAGACCCAACACCTCAGTCATCCAGTGAATATGTACTCGAAGACGAAGGCCCAACACCACAGCCAACGAGAGAATATCTAGATGTGGAAGATTCACATTCATATAACGACACATCTGTTTTTTACGACAGACGTGGGGAAAACGATTTAGCTGAGGAACCATGTGCGCAGGAAACATTATTTGGAAAATATTTCGAAATTTTGGAGAAGGTAGATATCAAATGCAATGACCGCTTTTTTTATTAAAATAGAGCACTAATGCAGTGAGCACTTTTAACAATACTTGCTCATGTGTGCTGGCCAAGTTTGTGGTTGCTTTCACATACAACATTTTTTCAGGCAAGGAGAGCCGACCTTTCGCCAATAGAGAAATAGTGAATCAAAAACGACAATAGAAACCCCATCTCATTTTTTAATTAGTAATTCGGGTGTGTCCCGCAAATATTCGATCTCCAAATTTTAGAGGTTTGAGACTTTGATGAAGCTCAATATTGCCTCCCTCTCCATATGAAGGCTAAAAAGGGGCAACGCACAAACTATATTGCATTTCCTTTATTATTTCCATCTACATGCATATGTATGTAGATTAGACTGTTTAAAAAAAAGTTTTCGGATTTCCGATGAGCCGTGAGATTTCATATAGTTGATACAAAAGAAGGCGCCTGCTCCAAGAAGAACTTGAAAAATTTAGAGGTCGCTACCTGCTCTTGAAACTTTAATTTTTCACGAATTTCGAAATTTATCGATAACTATGGTCATTATTTTTGCAGAAAAATTATATATACATATATAATTAAATATGTAGTTGGTTTTTCTTAAAAAATTACTGGGGCGTAAATATGAAATACGACTAGGAACGAATGCTACTCATACGCCATGTATGAACTATTACACAATGCAACACTGATTTTGGTGCGGCAAATGTTAAAGCTGTCCGTAAGTATAAAGTTTCCATCAGCTCCAGATTTTGAGACAAAGGAGGTCAAGGTGTCAAAAAATTTAGTTTTTTGCAATATTTGATAAGCTCTAGCTTAAAGTAAAGCTAGAACTCTCGACTACCTTCCCTGAAAATACCATCCCTGCATCTTGACCTTATGGCTACTTTTAGTCATTTATTGAATAATAAAAAAGTACTGGAAAATTGTGCTGTTGAATTGCTACTTGACTAATTTAAG